CAAATGAAATAAGCAACGCTTGAGTGCAGCAATGAGTGGCAGTGATATAAAATGAGGACATTGCCCCCCCCCCCCAGATCAGAATTCTTCCTGCTGAAGAAAATGTTCCCTCAGTTCCCAGATTTCTAGTAACTTGAAACTTTGGAATAAAGGGGTTTTTTTTATCTCAGAAGCGACTTGAAAAACTGCAAGTCACTTCTGGTGTGAGAGAATTGGCCGCCTGCAAGGACGTTGCCCAGGGGATGCCCGGATGTTTTGCCATCTTTTGAGAGGCTTCTCTCATGTCCCCACATGGGAAGCTGGAGCTGACAGACAAGAGCTCACCCTGTCTTGCAAATTTGAACCGCTGACCTTCTGGTCAGCAGTTCAGCCGACACAAGGTTTTAACCCATTGTGCCACCTAGAATAAAGGTAAGCCTCTGAAGAAAAGGGGAAGACAAAGTCACCAGTTTATTTATTTTATTTATTGTGTCAGGAGCAACCAGACAGGCGCTTCTGTGCTTCTGGTCGCTTCTGGAGTGAGAGAATCAGCCGTCTATGAAGACATTGCCCAGGGGACCCCCGGATGTCTTGCAGTCCTGCAAAGAGGCTTCTCTCATGTCCCCTAAAGTCACCAGTTGAATGTGAACATAACATTTCTAAGTGTGAGTGCTTCTCAGGGCCCTTCCACACAGCCCTATATTCCAGAATATCAAGGCAGAAAAACCCCACATTATTTATTTATTTACTATATTTGTATATCGCCCTTCTCAGCCCTTAAGCGACTTAGTGTAGACTCAGATAATCCAGTTCAAAGCAGATATTGTGAGATTTTCTGCTTTGATATTCTGGGATATAGGGCTGTGTGGCCCTCAATGTTTCAGGCCCCTTCTACAACTCCTGATAATCCAGTGTCCTTCTACACAGTCATATAACACAGAATATCAAGTCAGAAAATCCCACAATATCTGCTTTGAACTGCTTTGAGTCCACACTGCCATATAACCTAGTTCAAAGCATACATGTGGGATTTTATTTAGCTGTGTGGAAAGGCCCCTAGTTTATCAAAGCAGAAAATCCACATTATCTGATTTGAACTGGATTGTCTTAGTCTATACTGCCATATAATCCAGTACAAAAATGTGGGTTTTACACAGCTGTGTAGAAGGGGCCTCGCTTGCTGCAATGCTAGAAATTTGGAAATCTAGGGCCCTTCTACACTTTTTATTTATTTATTGTGTCAGGAGCGAATCAAAACTGTTGTATTGCATTAAAAACAAACAAACAAACAAACAAAACCCAAAGTTTGCAGACTTGGTATTCTATTAAATGTCCTTTGACCAGTAGCTGGCCACTTGGAGTGCCTCTGGTGTTGCTGCAAGAAGGTCCTCCATTGTGCATGTGGCAGGGCTCAGGCTGCATTTAATTAGGTGGGCTGTGGTTTGCTCTTCTCCACACCGGCATGTCGTGGACGCCACTTTGTAGCCCCATTTCTTATGGTTAGCTCTGCATCTCATGGTGCCAGAGCGCAGTCTTTTCAGCGCCTTCCAAGTCGCCCTGTTTTCTGTGTTCCCAGAAGGAAGTCTCCCATTTGGTATCAGCCATTGATTGAGGTTCTGGGTTTTAGCCTGCCACTTTTGGACTCTCGCTTGCTGAGGTGTTCCAATGAATGTCTCTATAGATCTTAGAAAACGATTTCTTGATTTAAGTCGTTGGTGTGCTGGCTGATATCCAAACAGGGGGTGGGCCTTTGAATCATGGTGAATAAGGAGTGGATCCCTTCTCTCCTTTTAGGTAAGCAGTAGGGAAGCGGGGAGAGAGGGGGGTGGAATTGGAAATTGATCTAAGGTGGAGAATGCAACATGCGAGGAGCAGTGAGTACTTGCAGCTACTCTGTTATGGGGTGGCAAATTCACTCTAGGCTTTAGTCCAAATCTCTCCAATTCAGAATTTTCTTTTAAAGCTCAAACTACATCACCGGCTAGATTCTCCACTCTTCTGATGTCGAAGCCACTAGATGTAGAAGAGCAACTGAGGGAGTACCTTGAGTGCAAAATGAGAGCTGATGCAGTTGAGGACACTTTTTTTTTTTTTTGCCCATGGAAAACTGTAATTGACTTTGTGAACTACCCCTTAATTCATGATATTTTGTTTATTATTTTGTAAATATTTCATTACCATCAAAGTCAAGCGAGGGCACATTTCAGTGAGCCAGAGTCTTACCCCATTTAGATGCTCAACCCTAACCATCAACACAGACTCTGCTTCACATTTGCTACCATATGTGTCTTATCTTTTTCTCTTTCCAAATCTTTTCTTTCCCTGCCCTCATGTTTTCTCTGTTCTCTCTTTAACAAATTAATAATAATAATAATAATAATAATAATAATAATAATAATATGTTTATGTGCAAATCATTGGTTGAAGATGTCCCTTTGTAAGCTGCCCCGAGTCCCTTTGGGGAGATGGAGGCAGGGTATAAAAATAAAGTAGTAGTAGTTGTTGTTATAAGATTAGTTTTTAAACTGTGTCCTCTGCGTGAATGATTTGTTGGTCTCAAAGTGTGTAACTGCTATGTTTGCTGTACATTCCTTGGTTTTTAAATCCAGCTAAGAAAATCTACTAGCGATCAAGTGTGCGGTCCTGTTTAATGAGTTACTACTGTAGTAAATCACTTTGATGCAGAAAATTTTGATTTGATTTGCTTGCTAGACGAAAAACAATTTTAATAAGGAAAAAAATTCAGCTGTTGAACAAACAAGAGACACATTGTTAGCAGTGCTTGAACTTTTATCCTCAGAGTTATTCTGCGGTGACAGATGAATGCTTTTTCTCTTTCTGCACATCTGTCAACCCAGCTGAGCAACCAAGATCTGGAAGTCATCCCATCACCTTTGGAAGAAGAACAGTGCTCTTCTAGTTCTCCTCTGGGCCTTCAGAAAAATGGCAGCTTGCCATTCAAAATGCTCTTGTACTCTAACCAAATAAAAATAAACCATCAAACATGGGATGACGTCACTTATAAAAATGTCTCTGAAAATAATTATGTTTCTTCTAATTTGACTTGCTAAATATACTACTTTGGCAGTAATCTCACAAGCAGAATCAACAAATGTAGATCCATTTAAGATTGGAAATAAGCAATAATTTTTAGAGGATTGAAAGTGGTTTGAGCAATAATTTATTTGCTAATGTTGACCATGCTTCTTCCTTTGGACATACTATCATAATCTCCAGAGAAATAGGTTTGGAAGGGTTAAAACTATCAAACCAGAAAATGGAATAAGTTTACATACACCAGCAGTAAACCCTCTTTCAGATCATCCCCAACTCTGAAAAATATCGTTATATAATGAGGAGGAGGAGGAGGAGGAGGAGGAGGAGGAGGAGGAGGAGAACGATGATAATAAAAACAACAACAACATAACAACAACATCAACTTTGTTTTTATACCCTGCCTCCATCTTCCCTAAGGGACTTGGGGTGGCTTACAAAGGGACAAAGTTAAAAACATAACACAATAAGATAGCATCAAAACAAACCAAATAAAACATATCACAATAAAACATAGCCATTATGTATTGTTCTGTGTGATTTCTAGACACATATTGGTAACCAGGTCCTAGTTACTTACATCTGCTTATGGAACCAAGATCTTCTAAAGGCAGAGGTAGATTGGACTGCAGACTGAACGCCTGTGGAAAGTAGCATGTGTATGTGTGTGTGTGTTACATGCCTTAAAAATCATTTCTGATTTATGGTGGCTTATCATGGGATTTTCTTGATAAGATATTTTCAGAAGAGGTTTGCTTTTGCTTCTCCAACAATGTCTTCCCACCAGCATTATAGAATGGAGACTAGCTGCCCTGAATCCCCTTGGGGAGATGGTGGCGGGGTATAAATAAAGTTTATTATTATCATCATCATCATCATCATCATCTGATCCAGAACTCTAGGAAATGCAGTTCAGAGAAGCCAAGGACCTCGCTAGCTGAGAATTCCAAACGCACTTCCCTGAACTACATTTCCCAGAATTCTGCAGGAGCAATTCCATTCTATAACAATTGCCTCCGTTCTATAACACTGGTGGGAAAATGTCCAAAGTGTGACTTCCCCAAAGTCACCCAGTGGGTTTCAGTGGTTGGGCTGGGGATTCAAGGTGAGATCTCTAGCCTTAGAACTGTAGAGTTAATATAGTTTGACATCACTTAGCCTGCCATGTCTCAGTGCTAATTTGTATTGTATTGTATACATTATTGGGAGATATACAGGAACATGATTTAACATTGTTGCCTGGATTTAACGTTTCTTGGCCTGCAAGTCTTCATGCACTTCATGCATACATTCCAGTGTTAGTCATGCCATAGGAAATGGAAGGATTCTACCTGCTCTCATGTACAGAACCAAGTCTATGTTTGTATATGGCAACATTCATAATGAGTAGCAATACTCATTGCATCCGTCTGATGTCAAGTGTTCCCATTCCAGTGTTGTTTCTCTCCTAGTGATATAGCGAGTATGAGAATTGTCTGAGCTTTGCACCAAATTGTCATGGTAGCACCACATGAAATGGCTGTGGTCAAGGATCATTTATAGCACAGGGAGGTAAAAGTATCCCTATTCCACATATTTATTTATTTATTTATTTATTTACAGTATTTATATTCCACCCTTCTCACCCAGTAGGGACTCAGGGCAGATTACAATGCACATTTACATGGCAAACATTAAATGCCATAGACACACAACATACATAGACAAACACACAGAGGCTATTTAACATTCCAGCTTCATGAGGGTATGCTTAAATTCCGGCCACCAGGGGAGCTGTCGCTTCACCATCCACTTGTGACACTGATGGAGTATTTCCTCATTGTTTGCACGCTGCTGGAGATTTTATGGTGTCATAAATTAGTTTAATTAGCCTCCCTGCATAAAGCGGTACCTAAATTTCCTAACTGCCATTCAATAGAAATGAAGAGAGCAACAAAATTATTAAACAAATTCCATTATGTTTTCAGATTAAGTTGAACAGCCGAGGACTTATTTATTCTGTGGGTTTGCTGCTGGCCTCAGTTTTTTTCACGGTGAGTATATTATTATTGTTATTGTTTATTGCATTCATATTCCACCTTTCTAATTTACACAATATTGCATTTTATTTACATCCCAACCATGAACTCATGCTGTTATATGTATATGTGGGTTGTTGGCCGCATTTGTTTAAGTCTTCCATTCAGCATCAGGAAAACAACAGAATATAGGACAATTTTTTATTTATTATGAATAAAGACAAACAGCAATTTTTAATTAATCAACAGGAACTCGAATCAAATGTCCATTAACTGGAACACAAACATACACAGATACCGCACAACACAACTTTACACAAATTCCTGCAGACACAGCAGTCTTGTGCAAGCCGATATAAACTAGAGGACATGTAAATATATCTTACATCTGAAATAGCTTGACATGAATTACTAAGGACTCCGTTATCCTGTAAATGTGTGAATCTATAGAATTGTCTGCCACTACTTTGGTGTTTGTTTTTTTTGTAGTTTTTTTTTAAAAGGAGGTTTCCTTTTTGGTCAAAGATCTGTACATGTCTGTAGTTTGTCTTTCAGTTCCTGCTAGGAAAGAACAGACTTAGTGTGGTTAATACTTGTGTATTCTTTATTCCCTATTAAAAATGGCTTTTTAAATACACTGTATCTCGAAATGTGTTTGGCTTGTACAAGGCACCTGTGTCTGCAACAATTTATATAAAATTTATATAGAATCATAGAATCATTGGGTCGGAAGAGACCTTGCGGGCCATCCAGTCCAACCCCGCCAAGAAACAGGGAACTCGCTTTCAAAGCACTCCTGACTGATGGCCATCCAGCCTCTGTTTAAAAGCCTCCAAAGAAGGCGCCTCCACCACACTCTGGGGCAGAGAGTTCCACTGCTGAACAGCTCTCACAGTTAGGGAGTTCTTCCTAATGTTCAGGTGGAATCTCTTTTCCTCTAGGAAGGTTTCATATAAATGTTAATATAGGATAAGGCAAACCTGAGGTACATGGTCAGGAGTAGCATATTTAGGAGCTCCAATCTGTGGAAGATGTATTAATAATACTATTTATTTCAAGTTACTTTTCTCTTTTTTAATGATAAACAAATATCATTTTATACTACCGGTATATGCTGTTGCTTTCCTATCTTTATCTGTTTCCTTAGTTATGATATCTGAAATCAAGTCTTATTCTTCTTTTGTTTGATTTACCTGAACATTTCCATTACTCAAAGGAGTCTGATCTCACAAATGATTATGACAAGAGAAATAACTAGATTATGAGGCCTTCCATTTGTTGCTTACCTGCAGCTCCTAGCACTCTCCATGGTCAGTTTTGCTTACTAGAACTGATGAGAGTTGCAATCCAGATGATTCCCAAACCCGAACTAGATATTTGGGCTGAAGGGAGAGAGAAGATTATGGGTGCATCTCTGTTGCTGAATTTAACTGCCATGGCTCAATGCTGAAGAATCATGGAAGTTGTAGTTTGGTGAGGCGTCAGCACTTACTGGCAGAGAAAGCTAAAGGCTTTGTAAAACCACAACTCCTAGGATTCCATAGCATTGAGCCATGGAAATTAAAGTGATGTCAACCTACATTAATTCTATAAAGTACATTCATCTTCTTACTGATGGAGAGAAGAAAGTTCATAGCGACCCCTATATATATTTAGACCTGCTTTAGCTCTATTTATGAAAATCCTTGTGCATAGGAAATAAACATAGGAGATCTTCCAGGGCGGCCCTGCTCTCAGTCCCACCGCCATCGCAGGCATGTTTGGTTAAGATGAGAGACAGGGCCTACTCCGTGGTGGCTCCTCGGCTGTGGAACATTAGGAAGAACTTCCTGATTGTGAGAGCTCTTCGGCAGTGGAACTCTCTGCCCTGGAGTGTGGTGAAGGCTCCTTCTTTGGAGGCTTTTAAACAGAGGCTGGATGGTCATCTGTCGGGGGTCCTTTGAATGCGATTTTCCTTCTTCTTCTCAAAGGGTTGGACTGGATGGCCCACAAGGTCTCTTCCAACTCAATGATTCTATGAACTCCCTCCCCAATGAGGTTAGATCTGCCCCCTCCCTTCTGACCTTTTGGAAGAAGCTTAAATCCTGGTTATGGGATCAAATGTTCACATAATAGTTTATTTACTGGGAAAGACAATATTTTATTTGACCATACTTGGACTGCTTTGGATGACAATTTTAACTCTGGCAATTTTAATCTGGTGAACGGGTTTCTAATGTATATTTATGATTATTTTTATTTTTGGATGTATTTATTATGTGTTTTATATTATGTTTGGCATTGAATTGTTACCTGTTTGGAAGCCGTTCTGAGTCCCTCCGCAGAGGTCAAGAAGGACGGGGTATTAATGTTTTAAATAAATAAATATTTTGTCTATTTGTAGGTTTTCGGTGTCCATTTGAATAAATGGAAGCTGGATAAGAAGCTGGGGTTTGTGTGCCTTTCCCTCTATGGCATCTTCTTGTGTTTCTCCATCTTGACAGAATTTAATGTCTTCACTTTCGTGAATTTGCCCATGTGCAGAGATCACTGATCTCATGGACAGACTGCTGAGAGGCGACGTCCTTCTTTACCTGTGCAATATGAAACGTGGCTGGCATCTCCAAGCAGGAAGAGGTGCCCCATGAAGGCCGTGAAGTACACCTCCTCACTGTTCATCAGCTCCTCTTCCTGTCTTGGCTTAGCCTCTAAGCCGCCCCTTCACACATACAGGCACAAACTTGGAAACCTCCTGCATTGATGTGAAGATTTACAGACTCAAGACACTCTGAACCATGGATGGCAGTCTAAGTAAATTAACTTCTACCTGGCACTGAGCTAGAGAAGCTGAACTACAACCGTTTTTTTTTTCTTTTTTAACTTATTTGATTGAAGACTAATCTAATTTATGAACTGAGACTATAGCTAGGATACAAAGAAGAAGGTACAATGTGTTGGGTGCTTTCTGAGGAAAAGAGAAGGAATCGGTTTTATTCCTTTTTCCCAAACAAGCTGTCTTGCAGCTTCCTTGCTTTTCTGAATACTCAATTTCGTGGGATGATCCAAAAGCCACAAATGGCACTGTGGGAAATGAGTTCCAGGTACTTGTTAATAGAAATGGACCGTGTACTTTGGAAAGAAACCATGGCGGCAGCGCAAAGCAGCTTCCTTTCCAGAAATAATGTATCACTCAGTGAGATGTGAGAGGACCTCTAACTGAATGAAGACTATACAGCTGAATACTGCTGCCATTTTCTTTTCTGAAACAAAACAATTTTATTGCTAACTTGTTTGTTGTATTTCCGAGCAATAGTTTTAGATTTACCAGCCCTGGAAAGTTAATGAGGTGACGTCCTGCTTTTAACTGTCAGTCATTTGAATTTGAAATGCAAAGCCAGGCATAAAGCCTGGACAGGACTGACCTCTTGTGGTTTCTCAATATTTATAGTTTACACAGCACTTTTAGATTGAAAAATGTTTTATGACCCTTACCTTGTCTGTCCCGGAAACAATCCTGAGAGGTAAGTCCTTACATTCCCATAGAAAATATATTTCAAATGGGGGAGTTGAGGTTGAGAAAGAAGGAGAATGATGTGCCAAAGGCCAATGAATTCATCTAGGACTAAGCTAAGGTTTGAACCAAACAGTCTGGACTCCAAATCAAAAGCCATCCTCCTGAATCGCCGGGCTGGCTCTCAATGTACAGGAGACAGAGAACAGGGTGGGCAGGGCATTTCAAGTCACCTTATTCATTGAGAGGAAGACATCATCACATGGAACACATTTTTAAAAAATAGTTGTAGACACTGGTTTCTGAAAGGCATATTTTGCACAGATATTATTGCTGAGGTACCCATTGCCACTCTGCAGAGGATACACTGGACCTGGGTAGGTTTTAATCCCCTCTTCCGAAAGACTCCGACACAATTTACTGAGAACTTTTCCTCTGGAAGCTTAATATTGGGAGCCCTTCTGAATGGATTGTGTCCTCTTCTTGAGACAAAGTTGCTTTAAATCTGTGTCTTTTTGGAGGTTGCTGGGTATTAAGTAGCTAAGATGGCTGTGAAAAAAAATTCAGTGTCCCATTGGATCCTATTGTGATTTGGTGTGGTTTGTTCTGTTCATATTACAAATGCATTACACCTCAGGAGAAATAGCCATCAATGTCTCACTTGCATAGTTAGCAGAACTGTGCATCCCTGGTTGTCACATTCAGCACTTGACATTTCTGTTTAAGATGATGTGTACGTTTTATTTGCAATGAGGGATTTCCCCCAGACAAATGTTTGACCTATATTTTATCTGTAACGTATAAAGATCACGATTAATAGAGAAGCAGCAAACTTCTCTGCACACACTTATATACACATCTATTGACCCACCAATTTGCACTTTTCCATATGATTATTTCAAAATGAATTTCCTTGGGATAAATAGTGTTAAATAAAATTTTCTAATCTACAATTTCCCTTTATCACAGCACCTTGCTTTCTCCTAGGATGTCCACAATGAGCAGTCAGTAGTTGTAGTTTTCCTTGTACCTTTGGCCAGCTATGCTCGTGGCTAGTTTACAGCTTAGTCTAGTGAAGTTCAATATAGTTTAACAGAGAAAGGAAAAGTAGGTCTGTTCCCCTTCAGTCTACTGTTTGTCTGTTTGTCTGTCTAAATGTGTATTGCAAATTCCAAAGCCTGTTTTAGGTCACACATTTTGTCTACATAGGGAATTAACCACCAGGCTTTTGGGCTTTGAGTGACAATGTCCGCAGGAACAGATCTAGGACTCATCAATGGACTGTAGTGTGCCAATATGCTCCTGAAAAAACAGGATTTCCCAAAACACCGTCAGAAAGGCATTGGTTTTGACATCTCTCTCATACCTTCTTAATGAAGTTTTTAATGAAGTCAAGTAATAGTTACGACTCAGTATATTTCTTTTAATCAAAATAATTTCCACACTCAAAGATATATTTTAAATCTTCTAGATTGCTACTTCCTTGATTGCACAATAGATCATATTTGGAAAAGAAATTCACACTAGGATGTGATAAATCACAGTCTCTTTTGAGGATTTGTAGGGCAGCTCCAATGGAGCCAGTTGGATCTATTTCTGTGAAATAGCCTTTATCTACCCCATGGCACTATACCATAATAACTGCATCAAAAAGACCTTTCATGTTGGAGGGAAGTCGAATAATAGGTGTCAATGTAGCACTGAGTGTGCATTGCTAGCTTGGCAAGTATGCACTATGAGAGTAAGTCAGGAAACTGAGCCAATTTGATTAAGTTTGAGAAAGAGGGTTGACAAGCCATACCTGAATTTACATCTGAAGGGTGTGTTCTCTAAACCAACATCTCTGGTGTGCCCTGCCAGAGCTGGAGCCCGGGAAGCAATAAGGAGAGTTTCTGCCATAGTTAAGACAACAGTGCAGAAGGCCACCATGCTCTGTACAAAACCTGGATTTCAGTTAATCTGTTTATTCACAACAGGGTCCCCTCTGGTTTTGAAGAAGACTCTTAGACCATGATTAATTTCAGTTATGTTGACAACATCATTATATATATATAACAGTCAATAACCATAATCAAAAACATCCTATAGGATCCTGGAAGAGTTTATACTTTGGCAAGGCACTAGAACAATAGTTCTCAACCTGTGGGTCCCCAGGTGTTTTGGCCTACAATTCCCAGAAATCCCAGCCAGTTTACCAACTGTTAGGATTTCATAGAATCATTGAGTTGGAAGAGACCTTGTGGGCCATCCAGTCCAACCCCCTGCCAAGAAGCAGGAAAATCGCATTCAAAGCACCCCCGACAGATGGGCATCCAGCCTCTGTTTAAAAGCTTCCAAAGAAGGAGCTTCCATCACACTCCGAGTCAGAGAGTTCCACTGCTGAACAGTTCTCACAATCAGGAAGTTCTTCCTAATGTTCAGATGGAATCTCCTTTCTTGTAGTTTGAAGCCATTGTTCTATGTCCTAGTCTCCAGAAAGCAAGCTTGCTCCCTCCTCCCTATGACTTCCTCTCACATATTTATATTTCTGAGAGTTACAGGCCAAAACATCTGGGGACCCACAGGTTGAGAACCACTGCACTAGATGCCCCTCCATAAATTGCTAACCCCAGGATTCCATGGGATGTTGCCTTGGCAGCTAAAGTGGGATATAACAGTAATTCTATGGTGTAACCAGGCCCTATGCCCCAATAAACAATTTCCATACAGCCATAGCGATCCATTTACTGCTGTATGGAATCCTTTTTTTAATGTCAGGAGTGACTTGAGAAACTGCAGGTTGCTTCTGGTGTGAGAGAATTGGCCGTCTGCAAGGACGTTGCCCAGGGGATGCCAGGATGTTTTTGGGGTTTTTTTATGTTTTACCATCCTTGTGGGAGGCTTCTCTCATGTCTCCGCACAAGGAGCCGGGAATCCTGGCAGAGTGCAATGCAGGCTGCAGTAGTTGGCAATCATTCACGTTGGATTCACTTTATGGAAATGGACACAATATATATCTGGTTGCAGAAATGTTGATGGCTTTGAATATTCACACAACATGTGTGCATCGCTGCAATCTATTCTGAATAAGCAGAAATTATTGTATTGTTTACGGATAGTTTTGAGGATGACCCAGATCCCTACTTGATTAAAAAAATGAAAATACTCGGGGAATTTAGGTGAATAACTGATAAGTGGTAGTTTTGTTTCTCAGGGCCCTTTTAGTCAGGCCCTATATCCCAGGATCCGATCCCAGGTTTTCTGCTTTAAACTGCCAGATAATCTGGGATAAATAGACAACTTGGGATCAGATCCTGGGATATAGGGCCTGTCTAGAAGGGCCCTCAGTTTACTGTGGTACTTTTAAAGCCACAGTTCAATGAGATGATCATTTGTAACGTTTTCCCAAGTGCTTAAGAGACCTGTGCAATTATTTCCCTTTCTTGGTTTCAGAGGTGGAAGGGAAGGGGGTATTTTCATGACCACTTCCTTAATGATTGTATAAACACTAATTTGGCATTAGATATTCTGTGTCATCTACCATTTGGGGTACAGGTTTGAGACTATTAGGTGTCCTATTCAAATGAATGGAATTTATATAGGTATGAGCCAAATATTAACGTAATTTCGTTGCCATTATTTTTGATATTTCTGTTTTTGTAGATTTTTAATAACCTTTTTTGCTATTCCCCCCCCCCCCAAAAAAAGAAAGAATGAATAACACAGTAAGTTTAATTTGAACTGAGGATTTGTCCTTGGTGTGCAAATTTTCTTTGCTTCCAAAATAAAAATCAGGGAATAACCAAGTTGGATGCAGTTTTAATTCAAGTACTGTAAGGTGTTTCTAAAACAAACTTTAAAATCTATTGTCATGGAATCACATTGCCTCCAAAGGTAGACAGGTAAAAATAATAACTTTGCATAAAGCATGTTTTCTTACATTTCCTCTTAGATGGTATTTGTAACCCTCAAAAAAGGAACTCAAGAACTTTGGAAACTTTCCCTTTGACACATTTTAGTAGAATGTTTATTTGTAGCATTAAGGCTGAAAGGGATTGTAGGTATGTGTAATTAAGAAAACTCCATGAAATTCATGATGTTGCAATAAGTCACTAGACAAGTTGAAGGCACATAGGCATACACAATTAAACATGGGGGTTCTCATCAACTACTTCAACCTTTTTCTTTGTGTCCGAGAGAGAGAGAGAGAGAGAGAGAGAGAGAGAGAGAGAGAGAGAGAGAGAGAGAGCAGGAGAGAGCCAATTCTTATGTAAATGGATGCAACTGCCATTGCTAATTTTAGAGACTAGAAAGGAATATACTAACTGCAAACTTCCTAGGCCCCTTCTACACTGCCATAAAATCCAGATTATCTGCTTTGAACTGGGTTATATAGCAGTGTAGACTCATATAGTCCAGTTCAAAGCAGATAATCTGGATTATCTGATTTGGTAATCTGGATTACATGGCAATGTAGAAGGGGCCTAAGAGTCAAGATTTTATGGAAGCTCGTACCCTGTAAGTTCCCTAACACAAGCAAATGGCATAAATTCTAGATTTTAAAGTCTCCAAGCCTTCCATGTTCTGTCTCTGGCGTGTCAGTTTTATACTTACAGAAGGTTTTTATATTAGATACAATTCAAATGTTTTATCTTAGATACAAATCTGAGTTGATAAAAGCAAATTTAAATAATAGTGACTCGCTAACACAAATCCCTCCCTCCTTATATGGGACTTGGAACAGTAAGGCTTCAGAATCTCAGTGTGGCCTGGATAAGTGTCACGAAGTCACATCCGTCACAGCAGTACAGCAAAAGTAGGAGTATAAGTAATATATTGATCAGGAATGAGCGCAAGGCAAGGATCATGGCATTGATACCTGGTTTGGCTATTTAGTCGCTCTGGAAACTACTTGTTTCCAGGGTTTTTTGGGGGGGAGGGGAAGCTTGGTGTGAGAAGCAGTATCACTCTGATAAACACTGTGAGGTTGTGATTTGGAGTTGACATTTTGATCTCCTCTTATGCTTTTAATGTTACTCTGCAATATTGTGGGTTTTGTCACAGATGCTTTTGAAAGGGTCTCAAGGAAAGCAAAAGCAGTGTGTGCTCCCCAAAGATGCCACTTGCTGATACCAGGCATGAGAGTTCCTGAAAACAAGTAACTTGATGTATAGTTTCCTATACAGTTAAAAAGGATGCATGCATGACATCACTAAGCCAAAAATACTCATGACAAGTTGAATAAAAGCACCTTCTGTATTGGAGATAAAGTATACAGTGATTTGGATGTTTTCTTTCTTTTTTTTTTCAAAAGAAGAAAGAAGAAATATTCATTTCATTTTGTTATGATTTGTCATGTGGTTTAGTAACCATACACTGTTGTTCATGTACTACCAGTGGATATACTACTCTTGTTCTTTAAGACTACATTGTGGCATAGTTAAGTATTTTGTTTTAAATAATGCTGAATTCGAAAGAGAGTTTGTTTTGCCCCAGTCTCACATGACCAGAATTTTGCCAGACAACGAAAAAATAACTGAAAAGGAATTAATTATGTATAAAGGGGACTAAAATGAAGCTAGTGTTGTGTAGGATTATCCAGGATTCCAAAATCCAAAATATTCCAATATTCAAAATTATTCACATGGGTGGCTGAGATACTGATGCCTTTCTTTGTTATGGTTCTTTATGATGTACACAGGCTTTTGTTTCACCTACAAACATATTTCAATATTTATACAAATTACCTTTTGGTTATCTGTATGAGATATATATGAAACATAACTGAGTTTCACATTTAGACTTGGCTCCCATCTCCTAGATAGCTCACTCTATCGATCTATCTATCTATCTATCTTTCTATCTATCTTTCTATCCATCCATCCATCCTTATATATGCAAATTCAGGTATATCAAAATTGAAATTTCCAAATGTTCCTGAACCCAAACATTTGGAATAAGGGATACTCAAGCTGT